GCGGCGGCGGAGGAGGAACTCGACACGCGCCAGCCGTGCTCCTGCAGCAGCCGGAGCCGAAGCTGCAGCCTGCTCCGGGTCGGGGCCATGGGCGCCCCGCGCCGCCCAGGTCATGAGGACGGAGGCGGAGACAGCGGGGCCACCGCTCGAGCCCGGTCAGTGCCTCTTGGAGGGCCCGCTCTTAACCCCGGGGAACCAGAGGGACTCCGCCCTAGCGCGGGGTTTAGGGTCCGGCTGCGCGACCTTGGGCAAACTCCCGCCTGGGCTCCTGTGCCTGCCTGGTTCATTTGGGGTTTCCTTTCCTCCCGGGGCTGGGACTCCTATCAGCTCTGACAGTGGTCCTGGTGGAAAGGTCCGAGGGGCAGGGGCGCTGCTTTTCCCAGAAGCGAAAAGTCCTTCTGGAAGCTCTTTGGAAGATCTTATGCCTTCGAACTGAGGGTGAGAAGGGCAGGGAAGTGGCAGAGAGCACCTAGCAATTGGAGTCCTGGCCTGCCAGACTCAGCGTCTTGGGTCACTAGTTTGTCACCCTTAGGCTTCAGTTTGCATGTCTAGAAAGTGTGTGTGTGTGGGAGGGGGGTTGTGATTCTTGCTTTGCTTAAGGCACCGACTTGATGAGAAACAGACAGTGCTGGTGACTCTAAGGTGAGGTGCAACTCATGGCAGAGGTCAAGAGCCTGTGGGACCCTCACCCTGCGGTGTCAGTGGGTGCATGGTGTCACACCAAGGGTGGTCTCTTGTGATTCGGAGTAGGCTAGGGGTTGATGCTATCCTGGGACTTCCACCCCGGCTCCTTCGATTTTCCAGCCATGATCTTAGACACATACTTGCCTTTCCGGAGCCTCCCTGGAGTCATTGCCACGTTCAGGGGTAGGCTTCATCAGCCAGTGAGTACAGTTTACATGCAGCGCCTCATTCAGCCTCACAATGCCCCAGTGAAGTCGTCATGTCCACTCTTAGTTGCACTTTTGCACATGAGCACATGGAGGCCAAGAGGGGTTAAGTGTCAGGGCTGCCTTTCGTAGTGACAGCCACCAGCTGAAGCCAGGCCAGGGCCTTCCAGGCCTGGCTTCCCAGATTACTCCCCTAGCTCTCCAGTGGGGCAGTCCCTCCACTCCAGGCATCCATATCTGGCAGCGGCTTTGGGCTTAGAAAACTAAAGCTTGTTATCGGGACAAATGCCAAGGCCTCGCCCACTCTTATCACCCTCCCCAGGAACATCTCCAGGTCCCAGATGGCTTTAGGAGGACTTTTAATCCCGTGAGGCCCCAGGATCAGGGGTTCTAGGGCTCAGGAGTAGAAGAGGAGGGACAAGGTATGAGTCTGCAAAGGACCAGAAAGCAGCTGGCCTACGCCAGGATCTACAGCTGGGCACAGACAGGGTCGAAGCCTGGCAGGAGAAGGCCTACCTACCCGATGCCAGAGCGCAGGCCACAGAGTAACGGAGGAGCTGGACCCTGGGAGCCTGAGGTGGCAGTACGAGGGCCACTGTGGTGACCAGTAGATCCCGATGTCTGCAGGGATAAGGCCTTTGAGGAAAACAGCTTCCCTGCACCAAGCGTGTCTGAGTGTCCACGCCGGGCTGAGGGCCAGAGGAGGCAAATGCAACCCGGTCCCCACCTGCCACTGAGGAGGAATACTCTGTCTAGTAGGGAGAGCAGGTGGCACCTCAAGGACTCCGTGGCGAAGGACCCTGAGAGGCAGAGGGAGCAGGGCATTTGGAGATTGAGACGTGGAAGGTGATATTCCAGATGAAAGGATTGGAAAGAACAGCAGCTGAAGAGTAAATACCTTGTGTGCAGAAAAGCAGCACTTTGTGGCTATTAGAGTCTCAGGCCCCGGAGGTCAGACCTATGTCTCCAGTCACCTTTGTGTCCCCAGAGCTGAGCACACAGTTGAATACTTAACGAGTTCATTTCTTTTTTCTTTTATTTTCCTTTTTTTTTTTTTTTTTTGTTTAAAGTTTTTTGCCATACGACACATAAACACACCAAGAGAGACAGAGAGAAATCACCCTTCAGGGAGGATGGCCATGCGGCCCTCCCTTCTCTTCCATCCTCCCCCGGGGATTTTGGGCACACACACACACACACACACACACACACACTCAGCATGATTTCCAAGCCACCGGGTCTGGGACTTGAACTGCAGTGCATCATGTGGGAGTCCAGTGCTTTAACCACCATACCACTGGCTGTTCCCAATGAGTTCTTTTCCTCCAAGCAGTATTTATGGAATGGCTCTGAAGCTTCAGGCACCAGAAGGGACAGGGAACAAAATTAGCAAGTTTCCTGTTGTCGTGGTTCAGTTGTGCTGCTCTAACAAAATAAATCCCCAAGACTGGGCCATCTGTAAACAGCAGAAATTCGTTTTCTTGCAGTCTGGAGGCGAAAATGTCCCAGCTCTAGGTGCCGGCAGATTCAGTATCTGGTAGAGGCCTCACAGGTGGGGTTGGCTAGCTGGCCTCTCGTGGCAGAAGAGATGGCGTAGAGAGAAATGCTGTGTCCTCACCTGGGCAGAAAGGGGACAAGAAAGGCCTAAGCTAGATCCCTCCGGGGCTCTTACAAGGCTCTAATCCATTCATGAGGGTTTCTTTATTTTTTTAAAGAATTGTTTTCTTTTTTTTTTTTAAAGGTTTAACCTTTTTTTAGAATTATTTTATTTAACTTTATTTATTTATTCACTTGTTTATTTCACTTTGACCAGAGAGGGACAGAGAGAGAGAGAGAGCCACCAGGTCCAGGACTCGAACCACTGTCAGCCATGTGAGAATCCAGCACCTTTAACCACCACACCACCTGCCGCCCTCAAGAAAATAATTCTGGTGGCTTGCTTTCTCACTTTCCCTTTCTCTCTCTGCCTATCTCTCTCTGGTCAAATTAAATCATAACAAATGGAATTAATTACATAAATAATTTCTTTTCTTTTTTCTTTTTTTGGAGAGGTTTTTGCTATAGGGTGCATGCGCTCACCAGAAAAACAGAGACAGGGAGACAGAAAGCGAGAAATCACCCCCCAGGGGGGATGGCCATGCTGCAGTCCCTTCTCCTCCATTCTCCTCTCAAGATCTTGGGCATGCACGCACACGCGCCCTGCATGAGTTTTAGCCACCGGGTCCGGGACTCGAACTGCATTCGGGTACACGGGAATCCAGCAACATAGCCATTATGCTAACTGCTGGTCCCCCAATAATAATTTTTTTAAAGAAAGAATTATTTTATTGAACTTTATTTTAATTTGACCAGAGAGGGAGAGGTAGAGAGAAAGCAAGAAAGCACCCTGTCAGTGTCAGGTCCAGGACTTGAACGACAATTACACCATGTGAGAGTCTGGTGCCCTTAACCACTACACCACCTGCCAGTCCATCCTGAGAGTTTCCTACAATACCAGTTTCAACATAAGTTTTGGATACATTGAAACCATAGCTTCTCCCATAAGGAAGCTTGTGTCTAGTGGAGACAAAGTACCTTTGTTTGTTACTTTTGCTAAGTGCTGTGAAGGAAACCAACAGGATACTCTGAAAGAAAGGCCTTCAGCCCTCCAAGACAGGAAAACCACAGAGTAGGAGATTTTGAACTGGGACCTCAGTGACCAGAAGAGGAAGCCTTGATGAGCAGCAGGGAGAAGAGACCAGCACATGCCAAGGCCCTGAGGCAGATCAAAACAAAGCCTGATGGGTGCTCAGGGTAGCAACCGCAGAGGAGGGCGGAGGTGAGGCTGCTGGGGCGCAGGCGGGACAGGGCCCTGCGGGCTACAGTAAGGGCGAGGATTTTAGTATTTTTCTCATTTGTTCACAATAGAGAGTGCATGCACATGTGTATGAGAGAGAAGGGAAAAAAAACACCCTTGACAGGGTCTGGTTATGTCACTGCTTCTGTTCCCAGCCCTCCAGCACGTCAGGGTCCTGGACACTCACACCTGGAGTGTTTCATACCAGCCAGGCTGGCCAGAAGCCACGTGGTTTCCAGCACTGTAGTTCAGCCAGCTCCCAGCCGCACCACTGAGGCTGGGCCACACACTTTCTTCTTTTTTATTTACTTTTTTTCCCCAGGTTTTGCCATAGGGTGCATGTACTTGCCAACAGAGATACAGAGTGAGACAGTGAAAGGGAAAGTGAGAAATCAACCCCCCCACCCACACACCGGGGGATGGCCATGCCACAATCCCTTCTCTTCCCTTCTCCTCTCAGGACTTTGGGTACACACACCCATGTGCCCAGCATGATTTTCAAACAGCCAGGCCTGGGACTCAAACCTTGGTCAGCCATGTGGGAGTCCAGTGCCTTAACCACCACACCAGCTGCTGGCCTCCACGGACTTGATTCTGAGAGCAATGGGAAACTGTGGAAGGGACCCCTCCGGCTGCTGTGGACAGAGATAAGACAGGGGCTGGGGCTGGAATAGAGGGCAGAGGATAGGCAGGCATCAGGCAGGGTTGAATCAAGGCAGTGGCAGGAGGTGAAGGTTTAAGGGTCTTCCATGAAGGGCCTGACTTCCTTTTAGAGGTGCCTTCCCTGGGATGAGAGGAAGGAAAGAATAGGGCCCAGCAGTTGGTGTAATGGCTATGTCACTGGACTCCCATGTAGTTCGACCACAGTTCGAGTCCTGGACCCGGTGGCTTAAACTCACAGCGAGCATGTGTGTGCGTGCCCAAGATCCCGAGAGGAGAATGGAGGAGAAGGGACTGTGGCGTGGCCATCCCCCCTGGGGGTGATTTCTTGCTTTCTGTCTCTCTGTCTCTGTCTTTCTGTCGAGCACACGTGCCCTATAGCAAAAAACTCTCCAAAAAATAAAAATAAAAAAAGAACAAAACTTTGGCCTGACTTGTGCTCAGCATGCCAGGCCCCCATAGGGGGGCAAGGTTCAGCTCGTACCTGTGAAAGAGTATTATGCACATTCTTTTCAGAAAGAGAGGGACTGGGACCAGCAGATGGTATAATGGTTACGTCGTTGGACTCCCACGTAGTCAGCTGCAGTTCGAGTCCAGGCCCGGCAGCTTAAAACTCAGTGAAGGGACCAGCAGTTGGTGTAATGGCTATGTTGCTAGGCTCCCATGTAGTCGACCACGGTTCAAGTCCTGGACCCGGTGGCTTAAACTCACACTGGATGCATGTGCATGCGTGCCCAAGATCCCGAGGATGGAGAAGGAGAGATTGCGGCGTGACCATCCCCCTGGGGGGTGATTTCTCGCTTTCTGTCTCTCTGTCTCTCTGTCTTTCTGGAGAGTGCATGCACCCTATAGCAAAAACCTCTCAGAAAAAACAAACAAACAAAAAAAACTCAGTGAAAGGTGCCAGTAGGTGGTATAGTGGTTAAGGGCACTGGACTCCCACATGGCCAACCATGGTTCTAGTCCCAGAACTGGTGGCCTTGCTTTCTTGTTTCTCCCCACCCCCTTTCTCTCTCTCTCTCTCTCTCTCTCTCTCTCTTGACAAAATAAAAAAAAACATAAAAAAATAATAAAAAAATACCAGTGAAAGGAGGGGCTGGCAGAGTGCATGGTGGTTAAGGTGCTGGACTCCCACACAACTGACCATGGTTCGAGACCCGGACCTGGTGGCTTTCTCTCTCTCTTTCTCTCTCTTTCTCTGTATCTCTCTAAAAAAGAAGAAGAAAAATCTTAGTGAAAGGGAAAAGTGAGAAATCACCCCTCCAAGGGGGATGGCCACGCCATCGCCACGCAAACTCCATCTCATACACATCACCACGCCATCGGCATGCACACTCATGACAGGCGCGTGTGCGTGTGTGCCCAAGATCCCGAGAGGAGAATGGAGGAGAAGGGATTGCGGTGTGGCCATCCCCCCACTGGGTGTGTGTGTGTGTGTGTGTGATTTCTCACTTTCAGTTTCTCTGTCTCTCCAAGCAACACACACACCCTATAGCAAAAAATATCTCTCTTAAAAAAAAAAAACGAGCCACTGAAAGACAACACCCCAGCAGGGCCCTCACACCCCTACTCACCCCACTCTTAGCCGGCACAGAGCACGGGCACACGTGTGTCCCGTCTGCTCAGGGAAGTCCCAGGATGTGAACCCAGGACTTTCCACTGATCTGTTGATCTGTCCAGTTGATCTGCCGGGGTGCCACCCCCTGGCCCTTGATGCACATTCTTGGCCTGAGTGCTCACCGCACCCTGCGGGCTGGCATCACAGTGGCCCGTTTCATAGAGGAGGGACAGAGAGGCCGGGTGACTCGGCTCACGGGCGGCCTGCCTTGGCCCTGCCGCTCTGCCTGCGGGGCCTGCTGCTTGCCGTAGGTGGTGAGGAGTTGGGGAGAGAGAGGCCAGAGCAGTCACAAGGCCCTGCCTCCTGGGATCCGCCAGCAGGCCCCAGACAAGCTCTGTGCAAGGGTCCCGTTCTATGAGCCAGAGCATGAATTCAGGCCTGGAGGTGTCCAGCTGAGAGAAGGGGCGTGGCCAGCCTGGGTCAGGGAGACCTCAGTGGTGGTGGCGTCTGAGCAGGTGTCGCCGGCTGGGGAGGGTGAGACGTCGAGGGGAGGATCTCGGGACTCGGACAGAGGCCAGCGGGCTGGGAAGGCGGGGGAGGCCACAATGGACCCCAGGACTAGTGAGTAGCCGTGCAGAGAGCAGTGGGGTGGGGCCGGCACAGCAGGCGGGCTCTGGGGGGCCCTGTGCAGAGCTGGTCTCACAGTCCAGGAGAGGCCCCAGAGACCCTCGAGATGGCGAACCAACTCCGGCTGGGTTTTCATGTTTGGAACTGGTGTCATGAGTAATGGTGACCGGCACAAACATCCCTTCCTGTTCTTTTGTTTTTTTTTTTTTAGAGGTTTTTTGCTATAGCGTGCATGCACTCGCCAGAAAGACAGAGAGAGACAGAGAGACAGAAAGCGAGAAATCACCCCCACCCCGGGGGGAATGGCCACGCCACAATCCCTTCTCCTCCGTTCTCCTCTCGGGATCTTGGGTGAACACGCACACGCACCCGGTGTGAGTTTAAGCCACCGGGTCTGGGACTCGAACTGCAGTCAACTACAGGGGAGTCCAGCCACATAGCCATGATGCTAACTGCTGGTCCCTCCCTTCCACTTCTTTAGACTCTGAACACTGTCCAGACTCATGAGGTGGCAGAGTGGGAGAGACTGCGGGTCCCGTGCCAGCTTGTCCCCCCTGCAGGGACTCAGTGACGCTGTTTTCCCTGTCTCAAGCTTCCTGCTCGTGCCTCCCTGAAGCACGCCGCCACCACCTTCCCTGGCCGGACCCCTGTTCTCACATACTTGTTTGGTTTTGCTAGCCGCTGGGACAGGGACCTTTGCTGTGTCACTCCCGCTGTGTCACCAGTACACATGCCAGGCCCTTACTAGGCTCTTAGGAAATATTTGTTGATTACAGGATTGGATCAGGCCAAAGTCCCCCTGTGTAGGGACGGCCAAACCCAGGGCAGCAAGAGGAAGTCAATACCCCAGCCCACAGCCAGCCAGGGGCAGAGCCAGGACTGGGACGCCCCGGTTGGGCCCTTCCTGCTCCACCTCCCAGCCCAGCAAGGACAGAGTTAGAGGCCGCCCAGAGATGGCAGTGCACGGAGCTCGCAGGAGCACACCATGAACACGGCTTACGGGACAGTCCCTGCCTCTGCCCCGTGGTTGTCACACCTCAGAGGTCCTAGGGACTTTGGAATCAGGCAAACTTCTAGGGAACCTCGTGAATTCAAATACTTGGATCTGCCAAGCACCTCACCTATGCTGGGAGGAAGCAGCAGGACAGCCCTTGTCTCTGCCTTCTCAGAGCTCACCTCGCCCCAAGGAGGGCTCTAGGGAGAGGCCTGGGTGCGGGCCAGGTCTGAGAAGGGCTGCACACGGAGTAATGACGTCCAGGACCAGGAGTGAGCTGAGGCACCTGGGACGCTCGAGAGAACAGGTGTGCAAAAGCCCCTGGCTGCAAGAGATCATGCCAGGTGAATGTCCTGCCTGGGGACCTGCAGATGGCATGACGGGTACATCGTTGGACTCACATGTAGTCGACCGCGGTTCGAGTCCCGGACCTGGCAGCTTAAAACTCACGCTGGGTGTGTGTGCGTGTGTGTCCAAAATCCCGAGAGGAGACTGGAGGAGAAGGGATTGCGACGTGGCCATCCCCTTGGGGGGTGATTTCTCACTTTCTGTCTCTCTGTCCAAGTACATGCACCCTGTAGGAAAGGAATATCTGCAAAAAAGGTTCTGCCTGTAGGGCGGTCTGTGGGGGTTAGGGGAGGCCAGGAGGCAGCTGGGACAGTGGCCACAAAGGTATCATTCTAAGAGACATGGGACCCAGCCCACTGGAGGATTTGGAGTAGGGCTGCACTGCTGGTGCTTTGCTGTAAGGAAGTTAGAAGGCCATGGAGAGCCCGCCGAGCAGCCAGCACAGAGTCTGGGCGGGCGACGGTGACAGAGGCTCTAGCAGGGACGGGCGCCACGCCACAGGTCTGTGACCTCTTTCTGTTTGTGCAGGGGACTTCGTGCAGCTGCCTGTGCCCATCATCCAGCAGCTGTACCACTGGGACTGTGGCCTGGCCTGCTCCAGGATGGTGCTGCGGTGAGTGGGCGGGCCCAGGGAGGGGGAGACGCGGGGAGAGGCCTGCGAGGGGCTGGCTGTCCATGTGGCTGTCTTGGTTGGGGAATCCCAGGCCCCATCCTACCTGCAAAAGGGAGCAAGGGGTGACCCAGGCCTCCCAGGTCTCCAGGCTAGTCATTCCTGGGGACTCGGCATGGCCAGGGCAGTCCTAGGTGCCCAGCCTTGTTCCACAGAGCAGCCCCCCAACTGGCCTTAGGCTCGTCAGTGAATGGATCACAGGCTGCCAGTCGTGTAGCTGAGACCACACGAACGTCACTGGAACCTTGACGGGGCCAGAAGTGACGTCACCCGCCCTTTGTCCAAGTTTTGAGCTGGCTGCCTGGGATTCCAAATCAGCTGCTTCCTTATCTGGTTCACGTTCTAGAATTCCAGGCAAGATGGGCTTCACAAAAGGATTCTGCGCTCCCAACTTTGAAAACCTTGGGGGGCTGGGTCGTGACCAGCAGGTGGCGTGGTGGTTAAGGCGCCCGGGGAGGGGGGGAGGGGGCATGACCAGCAGGTGGCGTGGTGGTTAAGGCGCTAGCCACTCCCACATGGCTGACCACAGTTCAATTCCCAGACCTGGTGGTTTGCTTTCTCATTTTCTTTATCTCTCTCTGTCAAACTAAAAGTAAATGAATGAATAAATGAAATGAAATCAATCATTCTTTAAAAATAAAAGACCTCTGGGCAGTAGATGGCAGAGCGGTTACATTGCTGGACTCCCACCTGGCTGACCACAGTTTGAGTCCCAGACCTAGTGGCTTAAAACTCACGCTGGGTTCATGTGCGTGTGGGCCCTAGATTCCAGAAGAATGGAGGAGAAGGAATTGCAGGGTGGCCATCCCCCCTGAGGGGGTGTTTTCTCACTTTCTCACTGTCTCTGTCTCCCTCCAGCGAGCACACACGCCCTAAGACAAAACACTCTTTTTATTTTTCAAAGAATTATTTAACTTTATTTTTTATTTGATTAGCAAAGGACAGAGTGAGAGAAAGTGAGAAGGCAAGCTGCCAGCTCCAAGACTTGAACTGTGGTCAGCCATGTGGGAGTCCAGCGTCCTTAACCACCACACCTTAACCACCTGCTGGCCCCAGCTAGGACAAAAACCTCTTAAAAAATTGTTTTTTGAAAACCTCTGAAATGGTCCAAATCCCAGATTTTATTTTTTATTTTATTTTTTTATTATTTATTATTTATTCATTTGTTCATTTAAATTTGGCCAGAGAGGGATGAAGTGAGAGAGAGAGAGAGAGAAAGTGAGAAAGCAAGCCGCCAGGTCCAGGACTCGAACCATGGTCGGCCATGTGGGAGTCCAGCGCCTTTAACCACCATGCCACCTGCCGGCCCCCAAATCCCTCATTTTAAACATGAAGCTAGTGAAACCGGAAAGGACGGCAACTTGGTCAAGGTCACACGGCACCGGAGAGGTGCCAGAAATACATATCGAGCCCTCCACTCTGAAGTGCAGACCAGGCCCCAGGCTGTTTGGACTCTGACCGTGTTCAGGTTGATTCTGGGCAGCGTGTGAGGAAGACGTGGGGTCTCGGGACAAAGGAGAGAGCCTTCTGGGGAGCCAGGAGGCCTGACAGTGGCTCCTCGGTCGCCAGGTGGAAGGTGACCCGCAGCCCATCTGCCCACAGGTACCTGGGCCAGCTGGACGACGGTGAGTTCGAGAACGCCCTGCAGGAGCTGCGGCTGACCAGAAGCATCTGGACCATCGACCTGGCCTACCTGATGCGCCACTTCGGCGTCAGGCACCGCTTCTGTACCCAGACCCTCGGTGTCGACAAGGGCTACAAGAACCAGGTGAGGGGGCCAGCAGTTGGCGTAATGGCTGGGTCGCTGGACTCCCCTGTAGTCGACCGCGGGTCAAATCCCGGATCCGGTGGCTTAAACTCACGCCGGGTGTGTGTGCGTGCGTGCTCAAGATCCTGAGAGGAGAACAGAGGAGAAGGGATTGAGGCATGGCCATCCCCCCTGGGGGGTGATTTCTCGCTTTCTCTTTCTCTGTCTGTCTCTCTCTTTCTGGTGAGTGTACACGCCCTATAGCAAAAACCTCACTGGACTCCAAAAAAATAAATAAAAACAAAAAGAACCAGGTAGGGACCAACAGTTGGCATAATGGCTGTCACTGGACTCCCATGTAGTTGACTGCGGTTCAAGTCCCGGACCCGGTGGCTTAAACTCACGCTGGTCGCGTGTGCGTGCGTGCCCAAGATACTGAGAGGAGAATGGAGGAGAAGGGATTGAGGCATGGCCATCCCCCCTGGGGGGTGATTTCTTGCTTTCTGTCTCTCTCTGTCTGGTGAGTGCATGCGCTCTATAGCAAAAACCTCTCCAGAAAAAGAAAATTAACCTCGGGACCAGAAGATGGTGTAACAGCGACATTGCTGAACTCCTACATGGCCGACTGCGGTTTGAGTCCCATACCTGGAGGCTTGAAACATGCTGGGCACGTGTGCATGCATGCCCAAAATTGTAAGAGGAGAAAGGATTACTGTGTGGCCATCCCCTTGGGGGTAATTTCTTGCTTTCTGTCTCTGTCTCTCCATCGAGCGCATGTGCCCTACAGCAAAAATCTCTCTCAAAACAAAACAAAATGGGATCCACAGTTGGCATAATGGCTATGTCGCTAGACTCCCATGTAGTTGACCACAGTTCAAGTCCTGGACCTGGTGGCTTAAAACTCATGCCGGGCGCGTGTGCGTGCGTGCCCAGGATCCCAAGAGGAGAATGGAGGAGAAGGGATTGTGGCGTGGCCATCCCCCCTGGGGGATGATTTCTCGCTTTCTGTCTTTCTCTGTCTGGCGAGTGCATGCGCCCTATGGCAACCCCCCCCAAAAAAAGAAAAACAAAACAAAACAAAAAAAACTCACCCTGGGTGCATGTGTGTGCCCAAAATCCCGAGAGGAGAATGGAGAAAAGGGACTGAGGCATGGCCATCCCCCCTGGGGGGGTGATTTCTCACTTTCTGTCTCTCTGGCGAGTGCACGCACTCTACAACAACAACAAAAAAATCTCTCTCTAAAAATAAATAAATAAATAAGTAAGTAAAATGTGTTCCATTGACCACGCCTGGCTGAGCCGAGCTGTGTGACCAAGCCGTCCTGGGAGGACTCGACTTCACCCCCGAGGCTCGTGTGTTCCAGGCTCTTGCCCATGGCCACCAGCACGTCCAAGCCCCTGGGGTGACTGAGCTGCCCTAGGGGCCAAGTCCGGCTGCCCGTCCATCTGTCGAACATTCTCCCCGCCCTCCGTGAGGTCCTGCACTGCCCAGCTCACATAGACGCAGCTTTCTGAGCGACCATGTGACACGTGCCATCTGTCCTGGCAGGTGGGGCTCCTCTGCCCCCACCATCGCTACCTCCATTACACCCTCTTTTTGTGTGTCGACTTGCCAGAGGGGGGTGCACACGCCTGAACTGGAGAGGAAGCAAGCACCGCCCCTAATGGGCGTGGTCACACCTCAGTCCTTTTTCTTCCATTTCCCTACCCTGTTCGGGGGGGGGTCTGGGCACACTCGCACATCCACCTGCCATTTGTCGTTTTGTTTGTTTGTTTGTTTGTTTGTTTTTGAGAAGTTTTTTCTTACTGGGCGTGTGCACTTACCAAAAAGACAGAGACAGAGAGGTAGAAAGCGAGAAATCACCCCCCAGAGGGGATGGCCACGCCGCAATCCCTTCTCTATTCTCCTCTCGGGATCTTGGGCACGCACGCACACGCGCCCGGCGTGAGCTTAAGCCACCGGGTCCAGGACTCAAACCACGGTCGACTACATGGGAGTCCAATGACATAGCCATTACGCTAACTGCTGGTCCCTTTGTTTTTAGAGGTTTTTGCCTTAGGGTATGTGGGCTTGCTGGAGAGACAGAGACAGTGAGAGGGAAAGTGAGAAACCACCCTCCAGGATGGATGGCCACACTGCAATTCCCTGTCTTTCATTCTCCTCCTGGGATCCTGGCCACACACCCACATGCACTCGGCGTGAGTTTCAAGCTGCCGGGTCTGGCACTCAAACCAGGATCGGCCATGTGGGACTCCAGTGACATAACCACTACGCTATCTGTTGGCCCCTGTCCAGCATGTTTTTAAAACTGCTGCATGGGGAACCAGCAGTTAGCGTAATGGCTATGTCGCTGGACTCCCACGTAGTCCACTGCGGTTCGCGTCCCGGACCCGGTGGCTTAAAACTCACGCCAGGCGCGTGTGCGTGCGTGCCCAAGATCCCGAGAGGAGAATGGAGGAGAAGGGATTGCAGCGTGACCATCCCCCCTGGGGGGTGATTTTTCGCTTTCTGTCTCTATGTCTCTCTCTGTCTGTCTGGCGAGCGCACGCGCCCTGTAGCAAAAACCTCTCCAAAAAACAAAAAAACGGCTGCATGGCGGGATTTGAACTATGGTCAGCCATGTGGAATCTGTCCAGCATGTTTTTAAAACTGCTGCATGGGGAACCAGCAGTTAGCGTAATGGCTATGTCGCTGGACTCCCACGTAGTCCACTGCGGTTCGCGTCCCGGACCCGGTGGCTTAAAACTCACGCCAGGCGCGTGTGCGTGCGTGCCCAAGATCCCGAGAGGAGAATGGAGGAGAAGGGATTGCAGCGTGACCATCCCCCCTGGGGGGTGATTTTTCGCTTTCTGTCTCTATGTCTCTCTCTGTCTGTCTGGCGAGCGCACGCGCCCTGTAGCAAAAACCTCTCCAAAAAACAAAAAAACGGCTGCATGGCGGGATTTGAACTATGGTCAGCCATGTGGAATCCAGCTCCCTTAACCACAAGGCTGTGGGACCAGCCCCGCAGCATCCTCTTGGTTTCATCCAGACGGGGTGAGGGCAGCCAGGGCCACGGCCGCTCCAGCCCACCACTCTCTTCAGTCTTTCTACAGGAAGCACTTTGACACAGAAGAGACCCGCGTGAACGAGCTGTTTGCACAAGCCAAGGCCTGCAAGGTGCTGGTGGAGAAATGGTGAGCCCCCCACACACCCCCTTTCTCACAGCCTTGCTCATCCATAGACTTGAGATGGGGACGACCTGAGGCCGGCAGGTGGCGTGGTAGTTAAGGGTGCTGGACTCCCACATGGTCGACTGCAGTTCGAGTCCTGGACCTGGCGGCTCGCTCTCTCTCTGTCTCTCTCTCTCTTTCACTCTATCCCTCTCTGGTCAAATTGAAATAACTAAGTGAATGAATACATAAAGTTAAATAAAATAATTTTAAAAAGAAAGAAGAGGAGATGGGGCCAGGCTGGGGACGGTGTCTGAGAAAGGCTAGGATGCTTACACCAGACGGAACTGAGGTTCCCTCCCCAGGTGTCTGTGGGGGCTGACTTCTCCCTTGAACCTTGGTTTTTCCATCCATGAAACGGGGTCAGTGGAGCTCTGTGACCCGGGCCCTGGCCTGGGCTGCATCATGAGCGGGAGCAGGTGAGTGGCTTCCCGGGAAGGCAGCACGGGACAGAGTGCAGGAGCCCTCGTGAAGGCACGGTGGCACCGTGAAGAGCTGGAGGGACCACTGCAGGCTGCCTGCGTTGGCCGACGCGGGCTACTGTGACTTCCATGAGCCTCTTCCCCTTCTTTTTTTTTTTATTGATAGATTTTTGCTGTAGGGCGCACGTGCTCACCAGAGAGACAGAGAGAGAGAAAGTGAGAAGTCACCCCCTGGGGGGATGGCCCGACACAATCCCTTCTCCTCCATTTTCCTCTCGGGATTTTGGGCACGCACGCACACCCACCTGACGTGAGGTTCAAGCTGCTGGGCCTGGAACTCCAACCGTGGCTGGCCCTGCGAGAGTCCAGCGACATAAACATGACACCACCTGCTGGCCCCCATGTGCCTCCTTCACATCTGCACACCAGGAGTGGGGACCAGGCAGACCCTGCGAGCAACTCGTCCCCACTGCGAGTGGAGCTCTCTCTAGGCCCGCCATGGGGGGGCACTCTCCAGCCCATTGCTCCTACCCCCCTGGCCAGACTCCCCCCCGACCAGTCTTCTCAGGATTCTCCTTTACTATAACCATGTGGTGGGGCCAGCAGATGGCGTAGTGGTTACATTGCTAGACTCCCACATAGCTGACCATAGTTCAAGTCCTGGACCTGGTGGCCTGAAAATCATGCCAGGCTTGTGTGCGTGTGTGCCCGAGATCCCGAGAGGAGAATGGAGGAGAAGGGATTGCTGCGTGGCCATCCCCCCAGGGGGTGATTTCTTGCTTTCCCTCTCACTGTCTCTGCCTCTATCTCTGTGTGTGTCTCTCGCTTTGTGGTGAGCATACCTGCCCTAAGGTAAAAAACTGTTAAAAAAAAAAATATATATATAAAAACAGCAACTGTTTCTTCTTTCAGCGGCCTTTGACCCCACCTCACAGAACAGGGAAGCTGTTCTCAGAGGAGAAAACTGAGGCGACCCCCCTCAGCCCCCCGTAGCATCTGGCCTGTGCCACGTGTGAATGTAGCGTCTCTCTGTCTCTGGTCTTTTCCCCGTGCAGCTTGCAGCTTCTTCCAGCCCCGCCCGGCCTCTCCTTGAGCGGCAAAGGCAAGCCCACTGGAGTACGCATCTCTGGGACCTCCGCCAGCTCTTTTGTTTCAAAGAGCAAATGGAAACATGGCAGGTTTCCCTGGTCTAGGCAGCAAAACAGACTGCCCCGTGACTCCCTGAGCCTGAGTGGCTGGCACTGGGCCAGGCCACATGGTACAGATGTTGCCACTGCTGGGATGATTAGGGAGGAAGCCCCGCGTGGCCTGCGTGTCACTCCGCTGGTGATGGGAAAGTCCCTGGCCTAGGGCCTCCCCCATGCTCTTCCGCCCCATCATCTGGATTTGCTGTTTGCTGGAGGGCAGGGGCAGGGCACCTGGGTGCCTCAGGGCATGGCTCCAGGCTCTCTCTGCTGAACTGGGGGTTCCCCTGGAGCCCTGTCCTGGGCAGCCCCTTCTGCCACAAGGAGTCTTAGAGAGAGGGAAGCACTTGGTCTTGCGGCCGACTCAGCCAGCGTGGCTCGGGGCTGAGGAATTCAGTGGGGCTGGCAGTTTCCAGTAGAAGCCACATACGATCGAGGGTAACGGAGAAATGGGCCGTGGCACAGAGAGGCCGCCGATCAGCCTGGGGTTGGGGTCCCGTGTGCCCCTCTGGCGACACTTGCCTGGGCCCATCTGGAGCTGACCACTGCTGTCCCTGTGAAGGGCCTGACAGGGCCAGCTGTCCTTGTGCACACTCAGACACCTCCAGACCTACGCACCCATAGTCCCATGTGGGGCCTTGGCTGAGCCTGGACCCTGGTGACAAAGCAAGGATGTTCCCACCGCTGAGGAGCTCAGGGCATGTTTTGGAGGGAGACAGCCAGGTTCCTAGGCTTATTTTAAGAGCTTTTTTTTTTTTTTTTGAGAGAGAGATTTTTTTGTTACAGAGTGTGTGCACTTGCTAGCGAGACAGAGAGACAGAGAGAAATCGAGAAATCACCCCCCAGGAAGATGGCCATGCTGGAATCCCCTCTCCTCCAGTCTCCCCTTGGGATTTTTGGGCATGCTCACACACACCCGGTGTGTTTTAAGCCACCGGGTCTGGGACTCGAACTGCGGTCAGCCCATGTGGGAGTCCAGTGACGTCACCGTGACACCATCTGCTGGTCTGAGGTCCCCAGGCTTATAACACAGGGGGATGAGGGGGTGAGCAGGGGCCCACCCCAGAGCTGGGGCGTGGAGCCCGGTGCCGCCCCCTGACGGCCCTCCCGCCCGCAGCACGGTGAGCGTGCAGGACATCCAGGCGCACCTGGCGCAGGGCCATGTGGCCATCGTGCTGGTGAACTCGGGGGTGCTGCACTGCGACCTGTGCTCCAGCCCCGTCAAGTACTGCTGCTTCGCCCCCCGCGGCCACCGCTGCTTCTGTCGCAGCCCCGACTACCAGGGCCACTTCATCGTGCTGCGCGGCTACAACCGGGCAACCGGCTGCATCTTCTACAACAACCCGGCCTACGCCGACCGTGAGTGCTCGGCCCACGGGGCTGGCCAGGGCAGCCCATGGCCACCGTGCGGTCCACTGGGGCCTCTGATCAGCTTGTGGGGGATGGGACTGCCCTTCCTGCCTTTTCCCCAGGGTCCCTGCTTCTCCTGGCTCCTGTCCCCGGGTCCTATAGACAGATCAGACCTGTGGCCACACTGCTTCCTGCATGCCCTGGTCATCACCAGGCCAGGCCAGGCCACCTCCACCCAGCTGCCAGCCTCGTTGTCATATGTATAGGCTACACACACCCCCTCCCAGTGCCCTGCCCTCCCAGGAGCCACCACGTTCCATAGGCACATCCCTGCTCCATGCCCACCAGCCCGCCCACTGCCCTCAGGCCACGGGCAGGACCACTCAGCTCTTGCCACTTCTTTCCCTCTTCCTGGCCTCGCTTTCTCCATCTGCTAAGCTGATGGGAGAGTCCAAGGAAGAGCCCACAGAAGCTGGAACAGGCAGGAGGGCTCCCTGGGGTGGGGAACTTGGGCCTCGAGGGGCGGCTGGGCAGGTGGGACTTCACCCGGCTCCCTGGGCACCAGCAGGCCCGATGCACCCCCCACGCTCTGACCCCACTGTGCCCTCCCTGTCCCCAGCAGGCATGTGCGGCACCAGCATCAGTAACTTCGAGGAGGCCAGAACCAGCTACGGCACAGACGAGGACATCCTCTTCGTCTACCTGGACAGCTGACGGCAGGAGCCTGGTGTGCCCAGGCCCTCGGACACCGCGCCCCACCCTCGGCGGGGCCCACTCAGGGTGCGCTGGCCCACACCTGTGGCTTCCGGGATTGGAATGCGGAGACGGAGCCTCGGCCTGGCTGACAGAGCTCTGGGGACGCTGGGAGGTGGCACAGAGACTTTAGCTATCGGGCCCGTGTGTCGGCGCGCCGCTCTCCCTGGGCACCTGCGGGTGGTTGGAGGCACCCCTGGAGTGGCAGAGCTGAGCACCCTCCAGGTCCCCAAGCCTACTCCAAGGACACCCTTGCGGCCTTCAAGGCACAGGGAGAAGTCTGAGCTGGTCTCCCCGCAGACCCTGGGACTGAGCCCCAGAGAGAGAAGTCACTTGACCTGATGCTATTGTTGGGGGCAGCGTCTGCGTGTTTGGAGACAGTCTGACTGCTCCAGGCTCCTTCATCCCCTTAGACATGCTGCAGCGCCCCCCCACCCGTCCCCCGAGGTGAACGCCACCGCCTCCTCCCACCCCGTGTCGGGCCCACGTTTCTGTGGCTGGTGATGAGGCCTGTGGCCCCTGCTACCTGTCTGGACCCCTCACAGCCACATTGCCTTGCAGAGTCCTGGCCCCTGAGACTCTGAGTCTCCCCACCGTCCTCCAGGTCCCCCGGCTTGTACAGTTGGGGTCCTCCGGGGCGTGGGCCAGCAGTACGGAGCGTGCTCCAGGAATAAACCGCTGCCCAGTCCCCTAAGAGCCCCTGCACCCACGAGGCCTCCTGACACCTGCCACAATCCCAACAACAGGGCAGGCCATCCTCCGAGTGTGGGGAGCCCCAGAGACTGGGTGCCAGGGTCTGCACTTCCGAAGCAGTGGGCAAAGGACACCACCCGCCCTGGTTCCCACGCCAGGATCTTTGCACAGAACACCGGGTCTCCTCGGTTCTCAGAGAAGGCTGGTGCTTGCCCAGGGTCACGCCACGCAGGGGCCAGAGCAGTTTCCTCCCTCTTTTTCTGTTTTTCTCTGCACAACTGCCCCCCACTCCCACTTAATTTTTTTTTTTTTTTTTGATTGAGATTTAAGTTTTCAGTTCTGAGAGGTGAGAATCACCTTCCGGAAAATCCATAATAGTGAGATTGCAGGTACTCTGGAACCGCTAACGCCTCTTCACAGCCCAGGTAAGCCAGCCCAAGCTCTTCAGAGAGAAGGCGCTCAGCCCGTGGTCTGGGTGCATGGCACGTCCCCTGGCAGCCCGAGGAGTGTCTACCCAGGGACTGTGGTCTTGGGACTGGGTCTTGAATCCAGGTCTATACCTAAAATCTTAAAGGAATTAGGCCATTTCCAAAAGACCTCGGACACCCACCCCCCATGGGCTGCCTCTGGCAAAGGGGCAGGGGTACCCCAACAGCGTCATTATCCCTGCACCCCTGGGCCTTGACCTTCCTTTGCCTGAGGCATGGCCTGGTGACAGCTGCTGCCTCCACCCCACTGTGGTGACTCTGAAGAGCAGAGGTGGTCTCTACTGGTGAAGGCTGTCGGGCTGCCCAGCCCCGCTGCCCCGCTGCCCCAGAAACAGCTGTGGGCTTGGAGGCGCTGTGAGCTGGGCTGCTACCCTAGGATTCAGGCCAACGTTGGCTGTAGCTGGGTCTCGTCTGCATTGCCTTAATGCCGGATGGCCAAGGTCCCAGGGAACTCCAAGCCCAGGGCTGCCATGCTTCGCAGCTATGGGTGGGGACTGTCCTCAGGAGACTTGGGGAAAGATCTCTCTCCTGGGTCGGCAGAATAGCTGTACGAGGAAAAGCGATAGGACGTGGTGTATTTGGGGTGGCAGGGTGCGAGTGGGGCCACGCGTGTGCCGGCGGGGGGGCCCTCGGGAGCAGCCTCTCCGGAGTGGTCTCGACACCTCAGTCCCTCCAGGACATTCAGAAGCACGGTCCCTGGACCCGGAGGACATCTCAGGGCAAGCCGCGAGTTTGAGGTCACCTGTCTGAGATGAACAAGAAAGCTGCTCGTCTCTGAGACTTGCTGGCCGAGGGAGGGCCACAGAGGCAGGACACGAGTCATGCTGTGTCACCTTCTTGCACAACTCATGAAAATGCAGCCAGCCTGGGCATCAGGGACTTTTGCTCACAGTATGTGACACCCACAGCCATGCAGCCTGTCCACACCGCGGAGCCCAGGGCAGCCTCCAACGCCGCACGGAACTGTTGGCTTGGTTCACTCTGGCCACGGGGATGAAAGGGATCTTTTGCATTGTAGAGATTTTATACGTAAATATATTTTGTTCGTAATGAGCCATTCTCAATAAACATTCTCACTGCAAAACGGTGGCAGACCCTCGCTGTGTCAATCTGCAGAACTCCTGTCTCCTTCTCAAGTTCTCAGTATAAGCACACGGGGTCCAGGCTGGGCCTTGACTTATTTATTTATTTATTTATTTTTAGAGAGATTTTTGCTGTAGGGTGTGTGCACTTGCCAGAGACACACACACAGAGGAATCATCCTCCAGGGGGGTGGCCACATCACAATTCCTTCTCTGTTCTCAGGATTTGGGGCACGCATGCACACGAACCAGGTATGATTTGCAAGCCACCAGGTCCAGGACTCGAACCGCAGTTGGCCATATGGGAGTCCATTGCCTCAACCTCTGCACTACCTCTTGACCCCTGGTGCTTGACTTCTAATGCCCGCTTTTATTGGATTGTCGGGAAAGGCCTGATACCCTTTTCATAGAAAAAAAAAAAAAAAAGATGTCATGACGTTTCCAGCAACCCCACAGTAAGGACTGGGGAACAGTTTGGTCCCTAACTGCAGCCCTCCTACCCAGGCCTCAGCGCTTCCGTAAGGCCTGGGCAGGCGGTGCTAGAGGTCCAGGGCCCTGGAAGCTCAGCTCCTCCATGGTCCTGGAGGGTGTGGAGGAGACAGCTGAACAGGTGGGAGGGCCTGGCCTGGAGGAGGGGTCTGGGCCCTCAGGAGGGAATTGGGGAGCTCTGTGGGCAGCGCTCCAGGCCTGAACGGGTTGCTCCCCTTAGCGGAATACTGGACCCTTCTAGGATTTTACCTGATCATTTCGTTTCCAGATTCCACTTCTGAAAAAGGATGTGTTTAGAAATCCTGGGTGATCCGACAACTTCAGACCCAGCCCACATCCTCCGGGGAGCTGGTAGAGCCCCAGCTGGCTTCTTGGGGTCCCTACCCAAGCAAGAGGGGAGCTCACTCTCCCCACATGGCATCCGCCGCCGTGCACCTTGCCCCCACAGGTTGTGGCAACATTGTGAGGCATTCTTATTTAGTTACTTACAAGTTCCACTTTCCACGAACTTCTTTTAAAAATCATTTATCATCATTGTTCTTATTATTTTTAAATTTGCTACAGGGCACATGTGCTCACCAGAGAGAGAGAAAGGTGAGAAAGCAAGCTACCAGGTCCGGGACTCAAACTGCAGTCAGCCATGTCAGAGTCCAGCACCTTAACCGCCACCTGCTGGCCTTTTCCATGAACTTTTAATACCAGAGGTCTGTACGTGCGAGGGAGAGAGAGACAGTCCCCCCCAACACACTGTCATGGGCAAGTGTGTGCCCGTGTCCTCGGGGAGGTCTCCAGTCATGAACCAGGAACCTCCCCACGTGGGGTACTCAGAGCATTGCCGCTCACTGCCTCACTGCCATCGGGGCCCAGCAAGGAGGCCTCTCAGGTCTTGGCCTCTTTCTCCTCCACTGGGGTGACCAAGAGTGACCCTGAAGACATCTTCAGCTGGGAGCTGGCCTGCGGAGGCAATGCGCCACTCCCCAGGGGTGCCCAGCTGGAAAGTAGGCAGCGTACCCGTGTCCTGTGTCACCTGGCAGCACGGAACTCTGATAGCGGGCACGTCTCCTCTTCAGCTTGAGCCTCTGCTCACTGGAGGAAGGGCCCCATCCTGAATGGACACTTCCTGGCTTGTGGGCTCTGGCCATGAAGTGCAATTTGGGAGATAAATTTAACAGCAGGAGACAGGGGTGGCTGAGGTGCTGGACTCCCACATGGCTAACCGCGGTTTCAGTCCCAAACCTGGTGGCTTGCTTTCTCGCTTTCCTTCTCTCTCCCCCTCTCTGCTCAAATTAAAAAACAAACGATAAATAAAGTTAAATAAAATACTTCTTTTTTTTTTTTTGGAAAGGTTTTTGCTATAGGGTGTGTGCGCTCGCCAGACA